ACTTAATGAGCAAATTACTTGGTGTCAACAAAGCCACAAATTTTGATTTTAATTTTGAAATTTTTTTTAATTTTTATATTTTCATATTTTGAGGATATTTTTTAATAATTTTTTAAAGTTTAAATTTATCTTGAAGAAAATTTTAATTTAAACTATTGAAAAAAAAGAAAAAAGTAAATCTGCAATATGAAGAGAGAGAATGTAAAGGAGGAGAGAGAAGATAAATGGAAGAAAATGAAGTAGATGAGAATTTTTTAATAATTTTACAGTTTAAATTAATCACATCACCTACCCAATGCTATATCAGCACCAAGCAATTTCTTGGTAATGGAGTAACAAGGATGTGGACGGAAAGATGACATTTGATGAGGTCATCGTCAGCAGAAGGGCTGATTTGCGGGTTTTGTCAAGTGGAGGGGCTGATTTGCTCTACTTTTAGGTAGAGGGGCTGATGTGCCACAACAATAGACGTAGAGGGGCTGAATTGCACCTTCTGACTAAATAAAACTGTTGGTAACCGGTGTGTGTCAACGGTTGTCTGAAAACTAATTTAATTTTTGAATTAAAAAGGAATTTCAATGATTGAATATTTTTTTTAGTAATGATTAAGTGTACGAAAACGTAAAAAAACAGTAATCTAATATGAATGCATGTGATATAATTATTAATTTAATCCTTTTGCATCATTTTTCATCCCGTCTTTTCATTTCACGTGTTTCATTCGTTGAATCATTACTATTTTTTTTAATATGTTAGAAGGGCCGGATTCGACTCGATAAGGGGAATCCACTTTAACATAATTTTGTTGTTACTAAGTGCGGAATTTCAATGATTGAATTAGAAAAACGACAGACAGTAACTGGTATAAAAATATCAAACCAGAGAAACCAAAAACAAAGAGGAACTGCATTTTCTTGCACCGTCTGGGGTTTTATAAATAAGTTAAGAGTTTATTTATCTTATATTTTAAGAATATAAGATTAAAAAAAATAATTGAGTGATAATTATGATATTTTAAAAAAATATGAAATATTAAATTAAAAATAATTTTTATTTTTAATTTAAAATAAACTAATAAAAATTAACATATAATATTTATAATTAAAATAAAAAATTAATTTCATTATTTTTAAGATAAAACAATAATAATACTTTTTAACTTATATTTTAAAAGAAGAAGATAAATATACTAATAAATTGGGGCTGGGGCTAGGGCTGGGAAACCAATATATATATATATATACTAATAAATTAAACAGCCGTATGAACGGTACTTTTCTCTTTCGGTTAAAAGTTGGTTTTCTTGCTGTTCTCTTCCTCTCTATTTTCAGATTTTGCTTTCAATTTAGTTTACTGCCTTTGGGTGATTAAAGTTCATTACAATGGACATTCTACCTTGGAAATAACATTTTTTGTGGAGAGGTAGAAACTACAATCCCTAAAAAAATTTCTTTGAAATTGTTTTACCCACAATAATTACATCTACAATTCTCAACATACAACACACTGTTTGTATGATATCTGCTGGGCGGAGTTGGTGGCAGACAGGGCATAAAGTTGTGGTTCTGCTGGCAGTGATGGTGGTGGGATTTTCGTAGTTTTTGCTATCGCACCAATGTTCTTGGGTCCCAGAATCCGACTCATGACCCACCTGAGCCAGGCCTCACACTCAAGCTCGGTCCCCTATTCCAACTTCCAGCTGTATTTCACAACTTAAAGACATGCACTCATTTATGCCCTCGTGAAACTTTTCAAAATTTTGATGTAAACTTAACCGTCGGAACAATGCCTCTTGGATCCGAATCCACTTTATTTTTATATATTAATTTATTTTTTTAAGTGATTATATAATTTATCTCAATATAATTAATTTTTTATAACTAATTATATTCACTTCTCTTAAAAAAATTCACATAAAAATTTTTCAGAAAAAAGTGAAAATATAATGCTCCTTCCATAATCAATTACATTGTACCTTAATTTTCATGTCAATAAATTCTTTTCTCCAGGCCAAGCCAAATTTCATTTTAGTACTGTCTTGAATTCTTTTTTCATGTAATATGGTAACTAAACAGGCCCTAAAAAATACTTTAAGCCATGGTTATTGCTTGGCTGTATATTTAAAAAAATAAATAATAATAATAATAAATTTAAATAGCTTAGTATTTAAAATATTAAAATATATAAAATAATTATATAATAAATTTAAAAAAA